AAAATAAAAATAAAAAAAAAAAAAAAAAAAAAAAAAAAAAAAAAAAAGCTTCTATGGAACACAAATTTGATTGTGTTTTGTCATATTAATATTATTAGAAGTAGCATACATCAAACAATAATGATAACCATTCGCAGGTGGATGTTCTCTGCTACCCGACCCTCTAAGATGCCGCATGTTCAGAACATTAGGGCACACATTTACTGCCACCACCACCCCCTATCCAAACCTGCTCTTGAGTAGAAGCAGAGAGTGCAAATCTGGTCATCTGTTGCAGATGATCAGATGCCCTGCAGAGCTGGGCCAAGGGCGCCCCCTGCTGGCAGCCAGCAGTCCAGCCCTGGGCACTCTGCGACTGAGGGCAGCACTGGCTCAAGCTCCGTGGCAGGTACTCAGAGAAATGAGACAAGGGTCCAGGAAGAAGCCCAAGGAGTGAGTCCGGAACCTGGTCCTGTGTCTCCCTCAGGGGGATGTGCGCTGTGTGCAAATATTCTTCATCTTTTACTGTCAGGAGCTGGACGGAAGAAAACAAAATAAAACTCCATGGTAGAAAGGAGTAGAGAGGAGGAAATTTTGTTGTTGCTGTTTACATAAAGAATTTATATTTTAGTCATTAAAATGTTTCTAAGAAATATTGTGTTTTCTTCATTGAAATAACAGGAAGAGCTTCTCCTACAGAACACAGATTTGTCTGTTTTGTGATATTAATGTGATTAGAAGTAACATGCATTAAACAATAACAACCATTCACAGGCGGATGTCCACTTGTAAGTTCTGTTGCACACACCTTCTCTAACTCATTTAAACCTCTGAAAACAGAGAAGGCAGGTACTGTTATAATCCCCATTTGAGAGAGGAAGAAACTGAGACCCCATTTCAGAGAGGATCATTAACTTGCAGAAAGTCTCGCAGCAGTGGAGCTTTGAAGCTAGGCCACTGACTGATGCTTTACCTTCTAAACTCACCCTGTGTTTAGACTGTCATTCAACTGTTGTATCAACATTGAACATATAGCAATGCTTATGGCAAGAATATTTTTAGTAATAACACAGAAAGAAGATGTGAAAGACGTAGAGAAGTAAAAGCACAGCCTATTAGTGCCGTTCAGGAATATTTTTTATTTGAATTCGGATTTCGTGGATGCCACACCAGCTTTGTTTGCCAATAGATTAACTTGATAGTACTGATCAAAAGGTATAATTTATTTTATTCCTTCTTCTGAATTTATTGAAATCACCACTTTTTTTTTTTTTTTTATTTCCAAGACACATAGCCTTGGGACCATAGTCCCTTTGGCATAAAGGTAAAAATGTTAACCCCTGGAGGACTCTTATGTCCTGCTTGTCGTGTCAGATGACATATGCAAATTACGCCCACACAACATCTGCATAGGCAGAGTTGATGTCACCCACACCTCCGTGGAGCTCTGTGCTACCACTGCACACTCACACCTGGGAGATGGTGAGAATCCCAGCTGTGCCTGCCTGGAACGGTGGCCCTCAGGATGGGTGAGCTCATGCGCCAAGACCCCACGGTGAATGGGGAGCAAATGCTGGCTGTCATCCCCTAAAGACCTCAATTCCTTCTTGTATTAATAAAGCTTCCCCAATCCCCATATGCATAGCAGCATTACACAGAACAGCCAAGAGACAAAGCAACTCAGTGTCCATTTTACCAATGGATTTTTTTTAAAAAAACTGTAGATACATACAATGGAATTTTATTCAAGCTTTAAAAAGAAGGAAATCTTGGCATAATGCTACAACATGATGATCCTTGAGAACATTATGCTGAGAGAAATCCACCAGTCAGAAAAGAACTATTAGATTGTTTCACTTACATGAGGTCTTAGAGTAGTCAGAATCATGGAAACAGGAGGAGGAATGGTGGTTGCCAGGGGCTGGGAGGAGGGAGAAACAGGGAGTTGATTTCCCATGGGCATAGAGTTTCCTTTTGGTAAGACTGAAAACCCTAGAGATGGCACACGACAATGTGAATGTGGCTGTCACTACTGAACTGTACACTTGAAAATGGTTTAAAGGGCATATTTTATATTATGGGTTTCTTAACACTGTTAAAGATGGTTTGGAGGGAAAAAAAGGAGCTTCTCTGTGTGGGAGAAAACCCCTACAAGAGCAGATGAGATCAAACAAGCCATCATGCCTCATGCCTGAGACTTTCAGATACCATATTTGCAAGTTTAGGCACCAAACTAAGTCTGTGACCTGCGCTGCCTTCTTGTGATCTGCTAATGTAGCATTAAAGGGGTCGGGAGATGTGTTGGTCTCTTTCCACATAATCAGCTGAACTTACGATAACTTTCATCATAGCTGTGATCAGAGACCCCACACATCCCCCAGGGTGATTTCATTAACTGACATTTTTCCTTTGAGAAAAGAATTAGTTGAAAACATAACTTTAGGTCTGTTTTAAAAGACATACAAGCACATCCCACCTTTGTTGTAGACACTTAACTTGTTCTCAATTGGTAGCAATGATGCCAACATAATTTTAATGAGGTTCATGACTTGGTATGGGTCCCCAGGGGTGGGCAGACTGGACATGTTTAGTCTATGAACCATGTTGGTGCTTCTTGTGGTCTTAAACGTCGTCATCAAGAAACTAGAGAGAAATCATAAACTAGCAATGCTTTTCTTTTTTCTTTCTCCCTTCTAGCAATGCAGCAAAAAAGCCTCTCCCCTGCTCATGTGGCTTTTGAAGTCCTCCGGCATCATTGCCAACCGCCCCTGGCCACGGATTTCTCTGACAATCGTCACCACGGCCATCATACTAACCATGGCCGTGTTCAACATGGTAAGCCCCGGAGTGAATCAGTGCTCACGCCACACAGGGCATTCTTCCCTTCTGGGACCTGTCCTATGGAATTTTGGAAACTTGCTTTTAGCTCCAATGCTGCCCATTAAATGTAGCATCTCAGGGCAACAGCAGTCATTTCTCTAAGGAAAGGGATGCTTTCACGGAGCCACCTTGAGACACTGGGCGAGTCCTTGGACTCTGCACTTCCTTGCTCATGGTGGCTCCTCAACAGGCTACAGAAATGACTGCAAGGTCTGAAGCATAGTCATAAACCACGAAGGGTGCAGTGTCCTGCCCTGGAGTGTAAAAGACCTGATCTCAGGGATCCTCTCGCACCAGCTACAGGACTAGAAAGATGTTTTCATTGAACTCTGCAGGCTCCATTTGCACTTCTTTGAAAGTGAGAACCAAGACTTCTCTACCAAGGGGGTTCTAAGGATTCAGTGAGCCAATGTTTGCAGCACACTGAGGACAGTGCTGGCCATTTTGTAACTATTGAACCTATGGCCGCTCTTACTATGTCAGTCTCATCATTGCTGGTGATCTCCCCCAGAACGGATACCTGGCTTGTCAGGGTGATTTGAGACGCGTCCTTACTGTTCTCCCATCAGCAGCAGCAGCCGAAGGAACTCTGATGTTTCCTGTAGTGGACGCCTCATTGACTGTGGGACATGCAAAGTGTTAGGAGCTGTAGCCCTTGCCTTCCAGGGGCCTGAAGCCAGGTTGTGGTGACAGGCTGTATATGATTTCATAATAATAACATGTTTTTTTTAAGTAGAAAGCATTTGCATAGCAAAATGTAATATTGACTGAATATAAAGATGCACCTGGTACGTGCTGGGTGCTCAGACCCCAAAGACAGTTCTCTGCCCTCCAGTTGTAGGAGTAGAAGTGGGAGACAGACAGCTGGGTAACCCCATCATCAAGTCATCCTGAAACGAGGAGGCAAAAACAGCAACAGAGGCATGAGGGGAAGGGAGAGCAGGGTCGGCTAGATGGAGTCCTGGAGGGCGGAGAGGAGTCTGCCACGTGGACCCGGAGAAAGTGAGGGGCAAGGGCAGGTGGGCGGAAGGTCCTGAGAAGGAGGGACATTTGCATCTGGGACAAGAGAGACATTCATACTAAGAAGGATTGAAAAACAAAGCTGAAGAAGTGGATAAGGACCTCGAATGTTTAATGGGGCCAGTCCTCCAGGTCATGCTGGAGATCCTACAGTTCTTCTCAGACACCTGCAGATTCAGGTGACGCTGATGCCACCTGAACCCCAGATGGGCCAAGCCCCAGTGGCAGGGGTAGGATGGCCTCTCCATCTGCTTTGCCTTGCCTAGAATTGATCTTAGGGACACCTGCAAAGGGGCCTTCAGAGAGCAGCTGTGGCTTGTTCTCCTTGGCTGTCTGGAAGTGGGTGTGTGCCATTCCCGCAAATTTTCTTGTGTCATAAGTTTGGGGACAAGTGTGCCTGTGGCCCGACCTCACCTGCCTGTGTGCCCCAGCTCCCTCTCAGGAGTTCCCCAAGAAAGGACATGAGAGCAGTTCTGATGTGCATCTCCACAGGTATGTGGACCGCTGAAAGGGGACACTGCAGCCACCTCCTCCAGCCACCAGCTCAGCCTCCATGGCGGCTAGTTAAACAGCCGCATCTGTTGCTGGGGAAGGAGGTGCTCAGCAGGCCAGTCCCCCAGGACACAGCCTCCCTGGGCTAATGCAGGCCCTTGGCTCGCAGTGCCCTGTGGAGAGGTCCGGATGGGCCAGGTCCAGCGCTGGAAGCCCTCCTCCTGCCCCTCTGTAAGATAGGAGAGTGGCACAAAGCAGGTCTCCCCTTCTTCCTGGATGTCTGCATCACCTGAGGCTCATTTTCTGCTGCAGGGATCATGGGGCCTCCCTCTGGGGAAGGAGGCCTCCTCTTCTACGTCTCAGGCGTGCCTAGATGGTCACCTCATTACTTTCAATTAGGGCTTAATCTAGAGTGAATGGCAAACAGCTGAGGAGGGAAAATACACCATGTCTAGACAACAAGCAATTCCCTGGGGTACCACTGGGCTCCAGAAGAACGGAAGTGCCAGGGCTCAGCTGGAGACCTGCTGTGTTAGTCCACCTGAGGCACCTGCTCTCGGGAGCCAGACTGGCCAGCCAGGGGCATTCTGTCTGAAGAACAGGGTTGTGGGTGACAGTAGGGAGCGGTGTTCTTACTGTGGTCCCAGAGCTCTCTTCAGGGGGACAGCCTCAGAGTCGGGAGCTCAAGATGAGAAATTTAAGACAGACAGGAGAGGTTTTCCTGAAAGAGTCTTTCTGCAGACACACCACGAGCCACAAGAATGCCTCAGCTCTCTGCATAGGCAATTTCCTGGATACTGCAAGGATGTGAAGAAATCACAGGGGAGGAACCTGGACAGAGAGGCAGGCAAGTGGCATTGGGCCGAGACTCCAGAAGCATCATGAGTGTATGAGTGTGTTTACTTTATTTTTTTTGGAGACGGAGTTTCACTCTGTCACCAGGCTGGAGTGCAGTGGTGCGATTCCGGCTCAACTGCAACCTTTGACTCCCAGGTTTAAGCGATTCTCCTGCCTTAGCTTCCTGAGTAGCTGGGACTACAGGTGCGGGTCACCACAACCAGTTAATTTTGGTATATTTTTTTTTTAGTAGAGACAGGGTTTGACCATATTGGCTAGGATGGCCTCTATCTCTTGACCTTGTGATCTGCCTGCCTTAGCCTCCCAAAGTGCTGGGATTACAAGCATAAGCCACTGTGCCCAACCGAGTGCGTTTTCTAAAATGGGTTCTTTGGGCTCGACTTTGTAACCTGTGCATTAGTCCTGCTGCTCCAAGATCCAGCTCCCCGGGTGAGCACACTGCCAAGCACCAGGTGGAGTCCGACAGATGAAAGCTATGAGAGAGACCAAGTTGGAAGTTAACTCCATAGCCAAGGGGCAGAGGATGAAAGCGCACTTGAAGGCAGCAGGGTGCCTGGGGTCCCAAGATCTCAGAAACCTCCAGTGACTGACACGTGCCCGATCATTAAGCCTCCTCCTGGCTCCTCAGGAGTGTGTTCACCATACCTGCAAGCAAATTGAGCACACTTCCTGAGAGCTGACCTTCACTGGCCAGTAGCAGCTCATACCAGTTAGGGGACGATACCTTTAACATCATATACACACACGTCAGAGTGAGATCATTATTTCTCTCTCTCTTATATACGTTTCAGTTGTAGAACATGATGTTTTGATATACATATAAATAGTGAAATGATTACTACAGGCAAGCTATTTAACAAATCTGTCACCTTCCCCAGTAACCTCTTGTGTGTATGATTAATGCACCCAAATCTACTCCCTTAGCAAATCTTCAATACAACAGAATAGTATTAACCACAGTCCTCCAACTGTGCATTAGATATCTAGATGCACTCATCCATAGGACTGCCACTTTGCACCCTTTGACCTATCTCTCCCCATTTCCTGCCCTCCCCACACCTGGGAACCACCATCCTACTCTCTGTTTCTGTATATTCAACCTTGTTTTATTCCACATATAAGTGAGATCGCGCAGTATTCATCTTCCTGTGCCTGGCTTGTTTCACTTAGCATAATATCCTGCTCCATCTATGTCATTGGAAATGACAAGATTTCCTTCTTTTTAAAGCTGAGTAATATTCCAGTGTGTGTGTGTGTGTGTGTGTGTGTGTGTGTGTGTGTGTGTATCAAAATTTCTTTATCCAATCATCCATCAATAGACACATTGTTTCTCTATCTTGGCCGTTATGAATAATGCTGGAATGAACATTGAGGAAATCTTTGTTTTTTCACATGCCCTAGGAAAGTGCCTTCCATTCATTAGCTATTAAATGAAAGAATGGATGAATGAACAGGGAAGTATACAGCCCTTTAAATAAAAAAAAATTCTTTTTGTAAAATCTAGTTTGAGCTTGTAAAGCTAGGATTTATCACCTAATTCGTAAAGACAATGTAACTGAGAAACAAATATGCTTTGGAGGCCAGCTCTATTTTGTATAGCATAATTAGTCATGATTGACAGACAGTGCAGCCAGTGTCTATAAAAGTTTGACAAGTGATCATTTAGGAGGAGACATTCTTTCCACAGTAACCGTGATCCTTTAGAGAGAGGACAATTGCCTTTAGTAACAGAAATGTGTCTTTCATGTTGTTTTTCTTCCTCTACAGAAGACACATTAAAAGTATGATGGTTGATCCTTGAGATGTATTTCTTCTCAAAGACATTCATCACACTTTGCAATACTTTTAATGTGTCTTCTGCAGATTTTCCACATACCAAGTTGCCTTCTGTAGCAGTAGAGGCAGGAAAGAAGCTAAATTACCTTTTCCCCACTTTTCCTGTGTCGATGCAGGGGGAGAAGAGATCAGAACTGCTCAAGCGTTGAATTCCTCCAAGAGTTCAGGAAAGCCCCATTTGTATTGATACCTGGTGCCATGAACTTAGCGGTTCTTTTCCATGCAGGTGCTCCGCTTGTACTTATGTCAAGGAAAAATCATAAAACTGTAGGAAGCCAATGTTAGGTATAGAAAGGAAATAATATGACCTGGCTGTAGAGCCTTTCTTTTAATGTCTTATTAATCACCAAAGAGGCAGGACTTGTCCATGGGACTGTGCCTCTGGCCACACCTGAGGATCTGCAGATGCCTCGGGCTCCTGAGCTCTGACTGAGTGAGGCAGAGGCAGTGCCCCCGGCCACATGCCTCACTAGGTGGTGCTGAAGCCGCAGGCAGACTGCTGAAGCAGGCAGGCTGGTTAGAAGACAGCACCTGTGCGGGGTGGTGCAAGGGAAGCGGGCTCCTGTCACTCACGTCAGGAAGGTGACACCTGCTGAGGATGCCAGTGAAACCCAGTCTCTACTTGCGTGCAGCTCAACAGTCCCAGCATCGTTTCTGTCTCTTTTTACCCAGCCCCACTTCAACCTGTCCATCCTGGGGCAGTTTCTATTTAAAGCAGGGTAGCTTTTGATGTTTTTTTCAGTATTCTTTTTTTTCTGAACATGTATTCCAGGCTGATGGAGCCCCATTCCCAAGTAATATTTCCATTTCTTAGCAGTTGTTAACCCAGTGAGAGGAATCCAGGCATCGGACTCCCATTTCAGCAACAATACCAGTTTTTGTGTTGGCGGAGGTTGGGGGCTGTGGGAGCACATATGCTTCAAGTCACTGGGAAGAACATTTCATTTGCTCTCAGAAAACTTCACATTTTTAAAGTCATAGCCTCATTCATGTCTTTATGTAAAGCCTCTGTTACTCTTTTTTTTTTTTTTTTTTTTTTTTTTTGCTCTGTCATCCAGGCTGGAGTCCAGTGGCACGATCTTGGCTCACTGCAACTTCTGCCTCCTGGGTTAAAGCAATTCTCTGCCTCAGCCTCCTGAGTAGCTGGGATTACAGGCACCAGCCACTATGCCTGGCTAATTTTTGTATTTTTAGTAGAGTCGGGGTTTCACCATGTTGGCCAGGCTGGTCTTGAACTCCTGACCTTGTGATCTACCTGCCTCAGCCTCCCAAAGTGCTGGGATTACAGGTGTGAGCCACCGCGCCAGGCCGTCCCTGTGATTTTTTAAGTTTTCCCTTCGAGACAGAGGAAGAGTGCTTTCATTTTCTTTCTTTTTTTTTTTTTTTGTGTGTGTGTGTGTTTCTGATGTATGTTTTTAAAATCACGTAAAATATAAATAACATAAAGTATACTGAACAATTTTTAAGCATACAATTCAGTAACATTAAATACATTTGCAACGTGGTGCAGCCATCACCACTCCCTGTCTCCATAGCGTTTTTCATTTTCCCAAATGGCAACTCTGTCCCCATGAAACACTCACTCCCCATCCTACCTCCCCCAGCCCTAGGTCACCATCGTGCTGCTTCCTGTTTCTATGAATTTGCCAATTCTAGGGACCTCATGTGAGTGAGTCACACGGTATCTGCCCCTCTGTGTCTGCCTCCTTGCCCCTTGCATTGTGCCCTCAGATACTCCTTTTCTTCTAGATGCCCCAGTCCCTCTGCAGCAAGTGAGCCCCAGTTTGCCCTGCATTTTTCCAGCCAGTGGCAAGCAGCCCTTATTAACTGCTTCTCTGTCATCACCTGCCATGACTCTATATTTCAAAGGGGAGAGATGCATTAGGAGTAACGTGGATGGCTTGAGGCTGCCCTGACCTGCCTCTGCCATTGACTGCATGGATGGGCCGCTTCATCTGAGGGCTCTATGTCAATTTCCAGTCACTGATATTTATTCCCAGCCTGCATTTTAATGATCCTCACAAGAGCCAGGGTCAATGAGAACAGTGTGTTCACAGGACTGGTTTTAAGTGTCATTACTCATCGATATTGAATGCCAAAACTTCCAAGTCAGTTTTATTTTCAGTGAATTGTGCAATTTTACCAGGATACCTTATACATTTGATGTTTATCCGTGTGATACCGGCACCTCAATAAAAAGTGGAGAAAAACAATTAGTTGTCCATGTTTGTTTTATACATAGTGTTTTTTCCATGTTAGTCTCCAGCTGGCTGTTGAGAATCATGTCTGAGCAGCCGAATGTGCTCCCATTTTATTCCTGACATTTCGAGAATGACGTCACTTGATTCCTTGCAGCATTTTGCAATTTCTTCTGAGAAATTTCCAAGAAATGTATTCTAAGTAAAGCATATATAAATCTGTGAGCCACCCAGACAAGGAGTTAGCCATAGTTAACTAGTAGGCTAGTCAGTTAGACTAGACTACTAGTCTAATTTCAACCAAATGACAAACACAATGATGTTATCAGGCATAAAACAATAATACTAAATGCACCTGTTTACAATTTAATGTGATTAGAAAAATATAATTCTGATATGTTTTTAATTGCTTTAGAAATGTAACATTTGCAAGCAAACTAAAAATATGCAATGTTCATTAGCATTTTATTTAGGATGTTTTGTTCAGAATGATGACATCATTATCCCAATTATGACAAAGGATGTAGAAAATTAAATTAGGTTCAGAGAAGCGCTTCCTAAATCATTATGATGCTAAAAATATTTTCAGTGGAGAAAGTTGGGGCAGCTTTACCTGGAAGGAAGGTGGGCAAGGGAATAATAACTCTCTTGAGTATTTAACTGGCTATAATTAGGGAATGACATGAGTTTGTTATTTGAAAATGAAAAGAAGTCAGAGGAAGGGAGGTTGATTCAAAATTGTAATATGATTTTAGACAGAATGAAGAGTCTTGAATTTATGGGTAGTTCATAAATACTAGAAAGACAGCAGAAGTGAGATAGGAAACATGGTGTATGGTGATTGGAGTTTTCTGTTCTTCAAGTTCAACCATCATATTTACTGCAAAAACTCCTTGCAAGACACATTTTTTTCACAAAGTAAACTACTCAGTCACTGTATGTCAAGAATGTAATACTTGATTTTACCTAGGTTTTTGCCTATATGCTGATATAATCAAGAAGTTTTAAAAAATATTTTATGATCCTTGGCACTTAAGACTAGTGATGCACCAGGCTAAACAATCTCCTTTTGTTTGCCATTTCTTGATTTCTTAAAATATTTAAATCAATTGAATTTCTGGTCTATCAAATTTTAATCTAAATTTGTACTTTTTTGGAGCTTGTTGTTTGCCAAGCGATTACTTCATTATTTTTTTTCAATCCCTGATATAATTTTTTCCAAAATATTAGCACACTTGTGGTTCAGCCAGGGATGTGACAATTTTTACAAATTCTTTCATCATACATATAGAAATTACTCATTTCTTTGATTCTTAAATCAGCATTTTGCCTGATTTAATCAAGTGATATAATGGGCAGAAATACAGTATCTAGTATTTCTATAGACGATGAGAAGAATGTTCCCAATAATAGATTAAATAAATGCCTTCTTATCTGTCCAAATAAAGTAGTTAAGGTATTTGACAAGAACTATGCAATCCAGAGAAATAACTCGATAGAAATGAACAAAAGCAGCCATAGAAACTACAAGGGAAGTTTTATTTTTTAAACCTTGAATATGTGTGGTTAACCCTATGCAGAAAACAAAATCTGTTTAATAGATTTATGAATGAAATGAATTTATTTCAGTAAAAAGAACTGGTTCAAGTCACGGTTCTGTGGTTTGTGTTTCCAGAACATGCCTGTGACCCTTAGCCACATGACCAAAAAGTGGCTGATCCTTGGGTATTTAGTCTGTTTGCAGCTTCTGTAGGACAGAGAATGAGAGAGAGAGGAAGAGAAAGAGAGAGAGAGAGAGAGAGAGAGAGAGAGAGAGACATTTCTCCTGCCTTGCTAACAGGTTGATGCTGTCCTTCTGATGCTTATATTATGTAAGACCATTACATAAGAGCTAATTATTTTCTCAGCATTACCTTTTGTCTCTTTAAAGTCCCCTTTCCAGCAGTCCTGAGAACATTCATCTTTTTAAATTTTTCACCCTTATGATCTGAGTTGCCAAGCACTCACAAATAATAGATATAAATGTAGAGGCTGGTGATTGCATTTTGCTTACAAAATTAATTTTCATTCTAAAAATCAATAATTCATAGAACTATACTGACTCATTAAATGTTTGAGCCGAGATGGAAAAGATACTGGAGGAAAAAAACATTCTGAAAACTCCAATTTGATGGTAGAGAAGTGAATGTATGCATGGTGATATCGGCTTCAAAGGTGATGTCGGTTTCAAATGTCATTCTAACCATGCTCTCTGCCAAGGGCTTTGTGTACTTTTTATTGTTTGAGAGAGGTGCCTCCAGTTTCTTTAATGTGAATTTTGAAGTTCTGGAATTCTTCATGGAATGTATAGAACAATAAATCGTTCATTACTTATTGAATAGAAATTCCCAAATCCGCATGAACAATCCCGTTTACTGTGCATAAGGAACACAGAATTCATAAAGTTAGCAGCCACCTGCTAGTTATCTTGTCTAATTTGCACTACTAATTCATTAAAAAAAAAAAAACCTTCTCTTTGCAGTTTTTCCTGAGTGACTCCGAGGAAACAATCCCTCCAACTGCCAATACATCAAACACAAGTTCTTCAGCCTCAAATAATCAGGCGGCGATTCTGCGTGCACAAAATTTATTTTTCCTCCCGGTAAGAACATTGCAATTATGACGCTTTGGTGGCTCTCCTGTATGCTAGTAGTCTGTATAACATACATTCTTTAGTCTTAGATTTGTTCTAGAGTTTGCATTTCCTCTCTGATATCAATCTCTGAGTAGTCCTGAATTTACAAATGCCAGCCTCTGCTACAAGTCCAAGCCCTTGGGGACTGGTGAAACTCACATTTGCAAACCTACAATGTTATTTTCATGCTTTCACCAGTAATGATTGCCTTATTCTCTTAACCACTACAACATTTCTAGCATATATCCTACCATATGGCATTCAATTATACATCACCATGTTTCTGGGTTTTTTACTGAGAGACGTTGCTAATTGTTCCAGTGAATTAGTATTATCCCCCTTAAAGCTGTGATAAAACTGCCCACACCTCATTTTCCTTCCTCTTCTTTGGCAACATACGCTGCCCAGTAATTCTATTCCTCAGTAATTCTTGCTAACGGACTCATCTTCACCAGTGTCCCAAAGGACCTAGGTTGAAATTTCAAAACTTATTAACGCATTAAACTTTTAAGTGGGGAGTTAAGTCAGTTATTTACTGCTTAACAACTTTGTTCTTCCACAAATTGTGAAAAAAAAAGTTTTTATGCTCTCCTTTTCACTTTCTGAATAATTACCTAAAAATAGTGCAGATTATGCTCATTTAGTTTCCGTCTCAAATAACCAGTTTTGAGAATGCTAAGTGAACTATTTTGGAGACTCAAATCAATAATTCAATATGTATGCTTTCAAAATACAGAAAATTTTAACTCCAGTAGCTATGGCAATAAAGTGGATTGATTTTCTTATTTCTCCTTCTCTGATTTGCTGCCTTGATATTTTGCTCTGGTCATTTTTCCCTTCCCATCATGTAATTTATTGGGAAGCTCACAGCTACATGCACAGAAAGAAGTGGCTTCTCTTGTTCTTTCCTGGAGGCTTCTGAGGCTTGACTGGGTCAAGGAAAAGATGACCATGTTCTAAAAGCAGTGTCCCCATGGGGACATTGGGAAGAGGGGGTGGTATAGGTTCATCCCTTACCCTGGAGATCCTGTCCTTCAAATTATGTATTATCATCAACTTCAGTGAGGATTAGGCTTTGAATTCCCTATTTAGTTAAACGAAAGTGAAAAGCTGGAGTCTTCCTGAGAGTTATTGACTGTAATCTCACTGCGGGCCATTTGGAGCCCTCTGTTTTAGAGAAATATTTAAATTAACGGTGTGGCCGGACTCTTCCTCCTTGAACCAATGGTGTTAGCATCCACATGATCCATAGGCTGGATGCTGGGGAGAGAGTGAACCGACTGAGCAGTCCCCTTTCACATCCACGTAGTACTTCACATTTAAAATTTTAATGTGAAGATGCATTTTGACAGGAAAAAAATGTATAGCTGGCAATATCCTTTTAAATCTCTCCTTCCACTATGTTTGAGATCACTTGGTATCATTAAAAGAATAAGGAAATCATTATGAATTTCATTTAGGTAAATCTGTATAATATCTTATTTGCAATCAAAGAAAATTATTAAAAACTCAAGGTGGGGAAAGGCAACATGTATTCGACCTTAAAAGATTCTGAAAAAGCACAATCTACATGGCGTGTGGTAAACAGACTACTGTCTTTCCAATCATGGGGCCTTGAAGATGCTAGCCAGTGTTGCCAAGGAAGCCCCAGGTCTGCATGGACTGGCTGTACAGAAATGCGTTATGAACTCATGGGATTATCAGCCCCTAAGGAGCCCGATATCCTGACTTCCTTCCTCATGGATCCCAGGGAACACAGGAAAAGCCATTTTGTGGATGTGCACCAGACAGGCATCGTTTCTCTCAAACCCCATGTCATGTGATATCTGAAGTTGACCAGCAAGTTGAGAAGCATGCCTAATTGACTGCTGATGGTAATATAAAGTGATATAACTCTTCTAAGTGATAATTTCAATCGTTACCAAAAAAAAGTATAAGACGGACATACTTTTTACCGTGTAATACTAATTTTGGAAGTTAATTTTAAAAGTGGAAAGGTTTACCAAAAACATGTTTGTACATGTGTTTATAAAACAGCAACAACAAAAAAAAAAAGTGAAAGAAAGAAAGCAGCCTAAAAATTTGAAAATGCATGGTGGTTATACTTAACCGCCATGTAAGTTATAACAAAATTTATTTTAACTACCATATAAGACATTCTAAAAAAAAATGACATATAAATACATATTCATAATAAATTATTCATTGAAAATAATTGTTTTAAAAAATTCTAAACAGTATAATCCTAACTTTCTAAAGTAATACTACCAATATTAAATAGCAAGAAAAAGGCTGGAAACACATATACAAGTAATGAATAGTGGCTAAAGTGGATATTGGGGATTATCAGAGACCCTTATTTTTATACGGATTCTTTTGTATATTTCCCAGTTTTTGACATTGGATGTATTATTTCTGTAGCAGGAAAACACAGTCCTTTTAAAATAACAAAATTAGCCATAAAGGATCTTTGCCACGTAAGCTGTTTATACCACAGCAGGCACTTGGTATGCATTATGTCATTTCATCCGGAGATGACCCTGGTAAAGTAGATCTTATTGGGACTCTAATTTTGCAGGTGAAGAAGCTATAAGACCCAGAGACTTTACTGTTAATAAATTACCCAAGATAACAATGGCTGTTACCTTACTGTAAAGTGCAGGTTGGTTTCAAAGATTATGTCAAAACCGGTAAACATTACTAGCAATCGGGTTACCAGTAAGTACAGTCCATTAGAAGTCAGTTCAATATCCTATCGCCAGAACCGCTGGCCAGCCAGCGCCCTCCCTGGTCAGCTAAACCGTGGAGGCAGGTCAGGCTCCCAACCTAGCCATCCTGTAGTATTCTCTCCCGCACATCCTTCGGAGTCAATTTACAGGTTCCCAGCCTACATTTTCATGCCAGATTACCTCTTGCACAGCCTCCAAGCATGCTAGAAAGCCATTTAATAGAAATGGACTAAAAGTCTACTTCCCTTGAACATATATATTTGAGTAGATGTTCCTGAAATGTGAAAAAAAAAATTAAAGCCTCAGAATAATTTTTGAAATGTGAAACCTTAGCATAGTTTATAGGTATTGACACATAGTTCAAAGGTTCAAACTGTGAGAACCTTTAAAATTTTACCCCGGGTCCCCACACACCAAATAATCCCCATTGATACATACACACACACACTTCTAAGTGATTCCTTATTCTGCCCTCTCATTTGATTAGGCTGAACTGGTTGATAGCTTTCATTATAACAGTGGTTTTCAATCATAATTTTAGAAACAGCTCTTTCAAAAACGAAAGCTGACCAAGAGCTTTATAGTAATAATAGCAAAATTTACATAGCTTCTCATGAACTAGGCTATTCTGAACTTGTGTTACTTAATCTTAATGAGAATTCTCCAAGGTGGGTATTACCGTCATCTTTACTTTGAGTGACTTGTGGAAGACACGGGATTGTTTTGTTAAGCTCAGCTGATTTGGGGGATCCAATGGGACAGAATTACTGAATAAGAGCCTTACCCCCACCAGTTCCTGGGGCAATTTCCCGGGTTTTAAGGAGCAGTTTTATAATACTCAAGACTATTGATTAAAGGCCTACTAGGTTATAAATAAGGGCTTCTCAAACTCTTTGTGAAGGCCCTTTCTTCATTTTGCTTTGTTTTGTTTTTGTAATTTCTAGTCTGTAACAGACTAATTCTTTTGAAAAATATAATGGTGAATTACTAGAAAAATGAACTAAAAAGACAGCCATATGAAACGCAAGCTCATGTTTTATTACATTCATCAGAAACAAGCTTACTCTGCCAAATTTCAATCCACATTGTATACCTGTTTCACAGAACTCACTGCTGTACTTTGAGTCCTCTTTTTCTAAGCGACATAGAGCTTTAGTGTAACTTGTATCAAAGTCCTCAGACCTGCCCTGAAGTAGGTACTCAGTAACTTATCTAAGGTGACATGGGCAGAACTCTCATAGAAATAAGGTGTCCTTTCACAGGGTATGCTACACCTTGCCTGCCTCTGAGATACTGCCTGTGCACGTGTTCACAGCTCTATTGATTCTGTTGTTTTACCACATTAACCCACATTGTCTCTTCTTTCCCTTTTTTTCTTCTCTGTTGTGGGAGAGCATGAGAGACGGAAGAGTAGAGGGCTGCCATCTGGCAATTGCAGCTGAGATACAGTGCTTATACCACTCAGTATTCCTTAAAATGCTGCCACCTGAAATGAAGAGTAGCCTTCACATTCCCATGCAGAAAAAGACTTTCACCCGCTCAAGAGTGACCTAGTTGGTGTGTAATCCAGTGTGAGGTGTTGGTCTTCCTTTTAAAGCCACAATACCAGGTCGAAGTTCTTACTGATGGAATTTCTATTCATTCCTCCTTGGGTTCCTCCAGTCAAGCATGCCTCTTACAAAGAGAAAGCCTGACGTATGACCACTGCAAGCTCATATTTCCAACTTTTCTTTCTTCTACAAGAACAGGAGTGTTGAGCTAATATCAGTCGCCTTCCACATAGCTTAATGTAGATGGCTTTAGCTGGGGATATCAAAGGAGGAGGCGGAATGACAAAAATAAGCAGTTCATACCTGGCTTACTCAGTATGATGAAATTATAATTGAGTAGTTTAAAAGCTAGGCTATCTTTTAAAGACAAGGTTTAAAACACATCAATAAGGGGCCAGGCGCAGTGGCTCATGCCTGTAATCCCAGCACTTTGGAAGGCCGAGGCTGGCGGATCATGAGGTCAGGAGTTTGAGACCAGCCTGACCAATGCAACATGGTAAAACCCCGTCTCTACTAAAAATACAAAAATTAGCCAGGCATGGTGGTGGGCACCTGTAATCTCAGCTACTCAAGAGGCTGAGGCAAGAGAATTGCTTGAATCCAGGAGGCAGGGGTTGCAGTGAGCCAAGATTGCACCACTGCACGCCAGCCTGGGCGACAGACCAAGACTCCATATAAAAAAGAAAAAAAATCAATAAGATCTATGTTTTACTAAAAGTCTTAATTTTTTGAGCTTCTTTTCTGTTCTAGGAATGCTAAGATAGTAACACAACCCCTTGTTCACAGAAACCCCATGATGTAGCAAATAAAGCGTTTTGAGGCTGGCACCTGCTTCACTGTAGGGAGTACCTCCTGGCGTGCAGGACTCTGGCTCTGTACATTACTCTTTTATCTCTGTTGTTTTCAATGACCTACAAGGATAATATGATTACCCTCATTTTACAGTGTCATGCAGCCACTGTGATATAGGCAAGTTAGGTCACTGGTTGCAAGTAAGTGAGCTAATGCGTGAGTGAAAAGTTGAATTCAGAGCTATCCAAAGCCTACCTGAACCTGCCTGCAGTGGTAGATGGTGAGGAAATGGCTCACCTGGGGGGCCTGCCTGCAGCTTGCTCCGGCCTCAGATGGGAGGTGCTAGTTCTGGCTCCCGCTTGTTTCTTCCACTTTCTTCTGGTGGCTGTCCAACTCCCAGGGGATTCATGACTCGCCCTGGTCAGGCTTTTAACTTAAATCCTTCTGTTTTAAATAGGCCCGCTGACACACCATTTCTCTTCTAATAAAATGTCTGGGCTTCCTTATGCTTTTAACAGAGTTATCTGGAATGATTTATATTCTCTTAATGAATGAAAGAATTGAAAGGCCAAAAGAGATTCTATTCACTTCAACACATATTTAAGGAATATATAGGAGGCCACACTGTTTTCATTTTCAAGAAATAAATGACATTGGTTTATAATGATGTGTCTTCCATATATTTTTTTTTACAATTTTAGTTCTAAAAAGTATCTGGCAATATACATGCTTATTTTTATTTATCATGCAAGGTTGAGTTGGAAAGCTGTGGATGATATTTTTTTTTTCTGAATTTAACATATCTGGGCATTTACCACTGGCTCAAAGATAAGAAACAGGGCTCTGTTTTCACAGCCAGGTTATATGTTGACCACATGAGCTTGGCAGTGGCCCCAACTGTACTCGTGATTGAGCATTTCTCAGAAAAGATCCTAAGTATCTGTCTGTTGTCTTTTCCTGTTTCAGTACTTTATATACAGCTGCATTCTGGGACTGATATCCTGTTCTGTGTTCCTGCGGGTGAACTACGAACTGAAGATGTTGATCATGATGGTGGCCTTGGTGGGCTACAACACCATCCTGCTCCACACCCACGCCCACGTCCTGGGTGACTACAGCCAGGTCTTGTTTGAGAGGTGAGCCGATGCCTCTTCCTTCTCTTTCTTTAGTTCTTTCTCGGCATGTGGATTGTGAGTGTGTTTTGAGTACATGCAAGTTAGCGACATCATTGTCATTGATAAATCATTCTGATAGAAGTTCTTTGAAGTGATGCCTCAGAAAGATATGTATTTTTGTTATACATTGTATCTGATTATGTATTCTGAAATACACATAGAAGATGTGAAGTGGTTCAGAGAGAAGCACTGTGTTATAACCTGAACTGTGTTGATAAAAGTAATTTAAGATTGTCCAGCTCGGAACTATTGACATTGTAGACTAAATAATTCTCTGCCGGGAAGGGGCGGGGGGGGTGCTGTCCTGCGCATGGTAGGTAGGGTGTTTAGTGTTTAGGGACATCCCTGGCCCCTACCCACTGAATGCGGGTCACAATCCCCTCTGCCCCAAATCATGACAACCGAAAACGTCCCTAGAAATTGCCAGATGTCCTCGGGAAGACAAAATGGCCCTCGGTTCAAAGCAAAATATTGAAAAAATAAGTAGCCATATTCACAAGTTATAGTGTTACCTTTCTTACCAGAGATTTTCTAAAATACTCTGTGTGTGGAAAGAGAAATATCAGCCCTGAACATTTTTTGTCCTATGAAGAACTTGACTTCCAAGAAAAGATATGATTGCTCTAAGTCTTTTAACTGAAAGTCTAGATGTAGCAAGAATGACTCTACCATGGGCACTCGCTCTGGTTTATAACAGGTTTCCTGTTATTGAGTTACTTTTGTAGGCTTCTAATGAATATTTGTTTGAAAAAAATTGTTTTAATCATTATGATACTCTCCATATCACATCTCAAAAAAAAAATGTTATAACAAATGTTAGGTTTATTTCTGAACCCACCAGAAATAAACCAGATGTCAAAGTATTTTCTAGGAGTGCTTTGCACTGTCCTCCATCTTATTGCTATATTTATTTTAAAATAATATAAATGCCTTAAATATTTACATAGATTTATTACTCCAAAAAGTTGTTTTATATTGACAGTACATGGCCACCTATTTCTCCACTGGAGACCGGAGTTAGGAAGGGCAGTCATCACACCGTGTAGCCATTTCTGACCAATGAGAACTTTTGCAAAAATACAAGTGCAGCCTGTTTTTTTCACCTAATCTAATTTTCATCATCCCCCACACAATGAAACTCTACTAACCTGTAACCAAGCTTAAGGCAGTGGAGTTGCAAAAATGTGTAATTATATTTATGATTCCTTAGCCAAGATAAGAATGGAAGTTAATTTTCCAATAAATTCTCAAAATTGCCATCTAAACATGCTTTACTATTGCTCTGCTGTATCCAGAAAACCTGTGTCGTATTCCTAAGTAAATGTAGCACTATTGATTTTCACACATAGCTGATGACGCTACTAAATTTCCCTTTATTAAATTTAAAGCGCCTGAATATGTTACATATCCGAAGGAAAAGACAAAATCAGATTAGCAGGTTTCTGATGTGGAGAGAATTGCTTCTGGAGACCTCAGTGAGACACCTTAGGAGACGTACTCTCTGAGTAGAACCCCAGCAGCAGGAGAGTACTTATCACGCTGAAGAAAAGGAGTTTCACTTTTAGATCACTTTCGTTCTATTAAAGCTCTTTTGTGTCTGCTCTCTTGGTTTGTCTTTGTAATGACCTTGAAGCTAGGGAGACCAACTGGAGAAGCCTCAGCGACTTGCCTTCACTTCCGTCATTAAAGCCAGCATCCTCTTTGGGGGCACACGCCTCTGTCCCCCTTCTTAATTTTTAAAAATTTTTTGTGGATATATACTAGGTATACAGAGTTACGGAGTACATGAGATGTTTTCATGCAGGCTTGCAATGTGAAATGATCACATCATGGAGAATAAAGTATCCATCCCCTCAAGCATTTATCCTTTGCATTACAAATAATCCAATTACACTTTCTATTTATTTATTTGAGGCAGAATCTTGCCCTGTCATTCAGGCTGGAGTGCAGTGGCACAATCTCGGTTCACCGCAACCTCTGCCTCCTGGGTTCAAGAAATCATCCTGCCTCAGCCTCCCTAGTAACTGGGATTACAAGCACCCACCATCATTCCCGGCTGCATTTTTTGCCATCAAAGGCAAAATTGTCTTCAGTTTAAAGCAAAATATTGAAAAACTAATTAGATTTGTAAAAAAAAAAATTGTATTTTTAGTAGAGTTGGGGTTTTGTCATGTTGGCCAGGCTGGTCTCAAACTCCCGGCCTCAAGTGATTCACCCACCTTAGCTTCTCAAAGTGCCGGGATTACAGACGTGAGTCTCAGTACCTGGCTTCTTAGTTTTGTTTGTTTGTTTGTTTGTTTTAGAGACAGAGCATGCTCCGTTGCCCAGGCTGGAGTGCAGGGGTGCGATCTCGGCTCACTGCAACCACTGCCTCCCAGGTTCAAGCGATTCTCCTGCCTCAGCCTCCCGAGTAGCTGGGATTACAGGCACCCACCACCACTCCTGGCTAATTTTTGTATTTTTAGTAGTGACATGGTTTCACCATGTTGGCCAGGCTGGTCTCAAATCCCTGACCCTCAGGTGATCAGCCTGCCTTAGCCTTCCAAAGTGCTATGATTACAGGTGTGAGCCACCATGCCCAGCCTTGGCTCGGTTATTTTTAAATGTACAATTAAGTTATTATCAACCAGAGTCACCTGTTGTGCTATCAAATAATACGTCTTACTCATTATTTTTTCCCGCTTCCTAATTTTGATCAGAAGTTCTGGCACTTCTTGAACTAATCCCTGAACTGGCTGCACAATATTCTCAGAAGCATCTCCTATGGAAAGATGAGTCTTACTGATGTAAAGTAATAGCAAAAAAATGCATAATGCCTCAAAATCAATGAATCTTCTATGATGTCCACTTAAAACTAACCTCACATGGGAGACTCTTAAGAGTGGGAGCTTAGAAGCCCCCCGATTTCTTCAGCCTCATTACCTGTTTTTTTGTTTGTTCATTCGTTTATGTTTGTTTGCTTTTATTTTTGTCTTTGTTTTTGAGATGGAGTCTCTCTCTGTTGCCCAGACTGGAGTTCAGTGGTGCGACCTCGGCTCACTGTAACCTTGCCTCCAGGGGTCAAGCAATTCTCCTATCTCAGCCTCCCGAGTAGCTGGGATTATAGGCACATGCTACCATGCCCGGCTAATTTTTATATTTTTAGTAGAGACAGGATTTTACTGTGCTGGCCAGGCTGGTCTCAAACTCCTGACCTCATGATCCACTCACCATTCTTACTCCTGCTGTTCTTGCCTTGTTCTTACTCCTGCCTATTTTACATAACCCTGTGAGTCATGCCAGAGGTAAAACCAATCAATGTCAGTGTTTTCTTTCTTTTTTCTGAGATCCAAGAGCTTTTCCCCATCCAATAATTGATATCAGTTTTCTCACCCTTTGCCTCATTTATTGATGCTGACACCCACTTCTCAATTGAAAGTAAGATATTTTTGGGGAAAAAAAAGCTGTGTAGCATGGTGCCTTGAGAGTGAACACCACTTAATCACAAAGCCAGAGGTGCCCCTGAAGTTGGAGCTGGCTCACAGGACAGCCAGACAGCACCGCCTTTTCTGATTGAACCAGTCTGTGCCACTAAAGTCACAGCATTTGGTCCCGTCCCTTTGGTGACCTATTTCTGGGCATCACATTCTTGCCCTTTCTTACTCCTGGCCTTCTCTCTTCTGCTCCAGCCTTCTTTCTGGGACCCTTGCTTGGCTGTGGCAGGTCAATGTCCTTGCTGTCCACCGAGGCCCCCGGGCCTACTCCTCGTCGGCCTTGAGTGCTCTGATGAGACTGTGATGGTTAATGTTAGGTGTCAGCTTGACTGGACTGAAGGCTGCCTAGTGGCTGGTAAAGTATTGTTTCTGGGTGCGTATGTGAACGTGTTGCCAGAGGAGACTGACATTGGAATCGGCGGACTGGGAGAGGAAGACCCACCCTCAATGTGGTGGGCACCACCCAGTTGGCTGCCAGCACCACCAGAACAAAGCAGGCGAGAGAAGGCAGGCTAAGCTGGCTTGCTGGGTCTTCTGGTTTTCATCTTTCTCCTGTGCTAGATGCTTCCTATCCTTGGACATCAAACTCTATATGTAAACAAAACCTGATGTGAATACTAACAGATAATATCATCCATGATCTGGAGATATGCTCTGTCTTCAGGGAAGCAGGTGAGGCGAGAGACTTCAGGAAGCCGGTGTCAGGCTCTTCCCATTGTTCAAGAGCACAACCTGCTTTTGTTTATTCATTCAACAGAATGGCCTTTGGCCTTTGGCCTTTGGATTCTGGGACCTGTACAGCAGCATCTCCAGTGTTCTCAGTGCAGAAGGTGACACTGTTTGTTTCCCTGGTTTTGAGACTTTTGGACTTGGACTGAGCTACTCCCAGCATTTCTTTCCCTGTTTTGCAGATGGCCGGTCATGGGCCTTCGCCTTGTGATCCGGTGAGCCAACCCTCAGTAATAAACTCCCTTCTATAAATACATATATCTTATTGGTTCTTTCCCTTTGGAAAACTTCAACTAATACATAGACCTCCCTCAAGCTTCTGGCTTTCACCCCTCAGTGCACCTGAGGACCAAGCAGCTCTTCTGTTCTGTTTCACCCTGGAAAGATGGAAGGTGCTTATCCTGGATGACGTGGACATAGCCTCTGTTGCCAATTAGCCCCTTTTCTGTGATATACACGTATGTGCTGAGTACTTTAACACACTCTCCCGAATCAAGCAGAAGAGAAGATCTGAACCAAATACCATGGCCTGTGACTGTGCCTGGCAGCTAGTGCTCAACAAGCATCTGTTGAATGAATAAACAAAAGCAGGTTGTGCTCTTGAACAATGGGAAGAGCCTGATACTGGCTTCCTTAAGTCTCTCGCCTCACCTGCTTCCCTGAAGACAGAGAGTATCTCCAGATCATGGATGATATTGTCTGTTAGTATCCACATCAGGTTTTGTTTATATCTTATATTTCAAAGTAAAGTTCAGAGAG